AGGCAGCCCTAAGAGAGGAGGCACGAGTCCTCTGCCATTGTCTTCTCTTTCTAGTTTGGCAACAATCCCTTCTCTGCGCTCACTGGGAGTTCGGACACCCCAAACTCCGAGCCTCTGCGGACGGAGAACCGAGAGCCGTTGCCCAACCCTTGGAATCCCGTTCCCGCTTCTCAGGGCCAGGAGCCGGAGAACGAAGGAAGCCCTGAGCCCGTCCCAAGCCGGAGCACGCCCACCATCTCCAACCCTTTGGGGGTCAATGCAGCTGCTTTGGGGTCAGGTACGGCCTTCACCCGGAGGCGCTTTGGCAGCCTCGCCAGCCTTTCCGGCTCAGTGCCCTCGCCTTTCTTTCAGAGAGGGGCCCTCGGTGCAGTGTCACACCTTGCACTGGGGTGTGTGTGTGTCTCTGTTAGTTTAAGAAAGGTGCATGAGTTGATGCTTTTCGTGGGTTATATCTGGAACGCCAGTTAAGTAGAAAACCTGACTTTTCAAGTGAAAAGTCTGTTTCTCATGCAGCCCAGTGCAGCTTGGGCAAAGCAGCATTTATAGGCAGGTGGAAAGGTGAACCAGCTGCCGAACCAACCCTGGCCGTGGCTGCTGGCTATTTAGTGGGGGGTGGGGGTTGCATGGACATGAAAACTAGTGAAATCCCTCACATGCCCCCCATTTCTAGAGAAAGACCCCCCCCTCCTCACAGAACCCAGCCCCTGATGCTGCCGCAGTCCTGCTCCCCTTTCAGCATTCTCTCTCTGCCTCTGCCTGAGATTGTAGGGTTTCCGATTGTGCCCTTCATTCCGAGGGGGGCTGATCATCGTCCCGTAAACGACAGTAATGGCGTTTTCTTCAGTGCCTTCTGAGAGGCTTTGGGGGGGGGGAATTCTTGCTCTGGTGTGATTCGCTATAGATGAATGTCCTCTCCCAACCCCGCAGGAATGTTCAGCAGCCCGGAGATGCAGGGTCTCCTCCAGCAGGTCTCTGAGAATCCTCAGCTGATGCAGAGTGCGATTTCGGCTCCTTACATGCGCACAATGTTGCAGACGCTCACCCAAAACCCAGAGGTTGCCGCTCAGGTGGGTACAGCTCTTTCCCCCCGTGGCTGGGTGGTTGAGGGACCCCCGGAGCTAGTCAGATGCTCTAATTCTCCCACACGGTTGTCCCTCTGTTGCATTACATTTGCAGTGCAAAGGGGTTTCCTTAAGATTAATACAGGTGGTCGTGTTTAGTGACCATTTGCAGTGACGAGGGTGACGAAAAAGTAATTTTGTGCCCAAGCCTCACATTTACGACCGTCTAAGGTCTGTAAAGCAAAGGAAATCTGAAGTCAGAGCGTCAGCACAGTTGCGGTTTCACTCAGCTTCACTTAATGACCAAGTGGCAGGTCCCAGTTATAGTCACTAAATGAGGACACCCTGTCATAATATATTAGCAGCTGTGGAATGTGAGGCTGCCATGAAGTTGGGGAGACAGCCCCGCATGCCGTGGCCTCCGGTGGTGTGTTCCTGCGAGGGTAGTTAGGGAAGGGCTTGGACTCCGCCCACTAGGCCGGGCTCCTCTTGTTTCCTTCCAGATGATGGTCAACGCTCCGCTCTTTTCTGGCAACGCTTCCCTTCAGGAGCAGCTGCGCCTTCAGCTGCCCGCCTTCCTACAGCAGGTGCACCTGGGGTGAAAACTGGTGTGGGGGCTGCAGATTTGAGTCTGGAGTAGAGGCCGGAATCGTAGCCCTCTGTTTCAGCCCCCCTCCCCCCCTCCCCCGGTTGCAGCTCTGGGTCCGAGCACTGGACCCACAAGGAGATCTAGCCTTGAGCACACTCACGATTCACTTGTGGCTCTTTCTTACGCCCCCAGATGCAGAACCCCGACTCGCTCTCGATCCTGACGAACCCTCGTGCCATGCAGGCTTTGCTTCAGATCCAGCAGGGACTCCAGACGCTGCAGACGGAGGCCCCAGGCCTCGTGCCCAGGTGGGCCCGGTCGCGGGATTCAGCCCTGGAGGGACAGCGTCAAAGTGGCGTCTTTCTGGCGGCTGCTGGAGACGGGTCTCCAGCTCTCTGCCTTGCTTCTTTGCTGAAGAAACGCATTCTTGCCTTGCAGTCTGGGATCTCTTGGGCCCCCCCAGCCCCCTGCACCTTCTGCCGGAGGAACTGCAGTCCCGGAGCCCCCCATATCCAGCATCTTGGCCCCTGCCAGCGCCTCCCCAGCTGGGGACAGTAACCCCTCCCAGCAGCTCATGCAGCACATGGCCCAGCTCCTGGCCAGTGCCAACTCTCAGGTAGGCGGTGGTGGAGGCAGCCCCTCGTGTCCCATACGCCTTTGTCCTCTTCTGATTGCTGAGCCCTTCCTCCTCCAGGGGTTCTCTCTCTCTCAGCCCCCCCCCCTCTTCAAGGGGGCCGGGAAACTCCTTTCCACTTGAAGCTTTGAATGAGAGTCAGGCAGGGTCTCCTGCGGCACTTCACAGGCTCTTTGGATGGCCCCCAAATCTCTTCCAGAGAGCATTTGGCCCTTCATCCCAACTTGGCTTGGTTATAGTGTGGTTTAATGTTTGTTTTTCATGAGTTTGTGGGCTTTTAATCTGTGTTCTTATCTGTAAACTGCCAGGGCCCTTAGTGGTTTGGTGGTTTGTAAATATAACAACTAGATCACCTGTGACTTCTTGGGCCTTTCTTTCAGGCATATTTCCTTCCCAGCTTCAACAATGGCTACGCTTCTGATGTAACAGAAAAGTCCCCCAAAATTCAGGGAGATATTCAGAGATGGATACCTGCCTTGAAAGTAGCTCATGTTGAACTGTGTAATGTCAGCAGTTGACCACAGGAAATGGTTTATGACATTTTGTATTATGTCATACTATTATGATAATTTTTATTCCATAAAATGTTATATAAGCTTTGCCAAATTTCAATTCCACAAGAGTTGTGAGCTCCGGATTTTGGACCCACTTTGTAACTTAGCCATTTGACCTACCTTGGTTCAGAGATGGTTCCCTGCGGTGCACTGTTTTGCCCAGCTAAAGGTTACGGACACCGGAGTAGTGTATAAATAAGAGCTTGGACACCTGGAAGGTGATGCCACTCGGACAGCGGTTAGGATGGATGATAGACTGACACCCACCCGTTGCTGAACAGCTCACGAGGGTTTTCTTTTCACGGCAGGCGCAAAGCCCAGAAGTCCGGTTCCAACAACAGCTGGAGCAGCTGAGCGCTATGGGCTTCATCAACCGCGAGGCCAACCTCCAGGCCCTCATTGCTACGGGAGGAGACATCAACGCCGCCATTGAGAGACTGCTGGGCTTCCAGGCTTCCTAACACCATGCCAGGCGCCTCTGATGTGCTCCGGGCTCTTGGGGACCTTTCCAGGGGCGAGCCATGTTCATAGCCAACCCTGGTCGCTGCCCATCCCTAAAGGACCGGAACCAAACTCCTCCGGTTCAGTACAGCCAGCCCAGTCTTGCACCGAATGCTTTAGACCAGGGCTGTCCAACCTTGGCTACTTTAAGACTTGCGGACTGCAACTCCCAGAATTCCGGGAGCTGAAGTCCAGAGGTCTTAAGGTTGTACACCCCTGCTTTAGATGCTGCATTGTGCATGGATTCCAGGCCCCACGACTGTTTTGGAACTGTTTCTCCCCCCCTCCCCTTATTCCTGCCCCCACTTTGTTCTCAAAATTAGGTTCCTCCTCCTTTTAGTTCATATTAATATAACTTCTAGATAACCCAAACTGTTGTGTTCAATTAGTTTGCCCTTTGCTTAGATTTTTTTTTCCCCCTTCCCACCCAAAGCTAAACCAGAAGGAAATGCCAGCGGTGGTCCTCCTGTCCAGAGTGGGTCTCATGCAAGAGAGAAAGAGGGGACAATATGATTAAATGCTAGTAAAAATAACCAGAAGGTCTTCTGTCCTTCACAATGACTCCTATCTCTCAGTAGGAAGTTATCAGCTGGTGTGTCTGGCAGTGGGGAACCTCGCTCTGCCCTTGCCAAGGTGGGTGCTGGGGTCTGCTTCTACCACAGTGGGGCGGAAGGGCCTGAAGTTGGAGTTCTCCCAACACAAAGGGGGGCTTGGAAGGGCCGGACCCCACTGGGTGCGATGCTCTCCTTGGTGTGTCTGAAGGGGTCGGCCTGGGCTCCTTGCTCTCTCTGATCCAGTAGCGTCTTGCTCCTCCCATCCAAAGTCCCTAGGGGCTGTTTTGGGAGATACAGAGGAGGAAAGCAACCTACTTTGGGGTGTCCTTCTCCTGTTTGGTTCAAGCTGCTTGAAATCGCCAAGTCTTGAAAGTCTTCAGCAGCCCAAACTGGCAGCTATTTTTATCTGAACCTTTCAGTCCAGGCCTATAGCGCACAGCATCCATTCTGACTCGCTCTGCTGCCCGTGGCCCCCCCGCAGACTGCTTGACTACCTGCTGAGCTCAGCCTGTGTTTCCTGGGCTTTGAAGAAGCAGGATGTAAGAAGTTCTGTTCCACTCAACAGAACCTGTTCTGCATCCTCTTTTCAAAAAGATGAGAATTTCACTGCTGCTGTTTTCCAATCGATCCCGCTTTTGGCTGAGCCTCAGGATCGCCTTGCCTTCCTCAAAAAAGTCCACCCAGGCCCCTCCAGCCGTGTTTGCTCCCCAGCATGAAGGCGCCTCACCCCAAGAGTCCTTGGGATGGAATTTCCTATCCCTGCGACAGACCCCCCCCCCCCGGCCGCAACGTTCTCGTGAAGAGCCCCCTCTCCACACCTTGTAGAGTCTTCCCTCCCGCCTCTCCATCGCCTTAGCAAAGACCGTTGATTTCGAAAAAGATGGAACGAGCTTTTCCCCCACCTTATTTTTATTCCAGGAAGACAAAATCCAATTTATACAAAGCATCAACTAAGCCTCCTTGAGAGACTAACAAAGAGCTGCTCCCTTGCGCAGATCTGAAATACAATCAAATTGGGCGAGCCTCTCGCTGCCTCTGGGAGCAAGATCTAATCTGTCCTCATTGGAGGGGGGGGGGAGGGAATGTTGGGATGTGGACCTGCAGAACTGCCCCCCTACAGCCACAGCCCCCCTTCCCCAGCAGATGGGCCTTGGAGTCTGTTGCACTCTGCAGGGCCGGCTCTAGGAGAGGCGCAAGACAGAGTCCGTCTCTGGGAAGGGTGGCAGGTTGAGCGCGTACTTCTTCTGCAGGGCCTTGGGCACAAACCTGCCCCCCAGGAAATGGTAGCGCCCCTGGAAGTGCCGGGCCGCCTTCTTGGGTGCTGTGAGCGAAATCAGCATGTCCGGCTGCAGCCCCTCAGGACTCCCCTTCTCCACGTCCCAGCCTGGCAAGGAGAGGAAAGGGGGCAAAAGTGAGCGAAGGGCAGGCTGTCTGCAGGGAGCCGGCCGAGGGCCCGGCTTGCCCCAAGGCACCAAAGGCAGCACCGCCCTGGCCCTCCGGCTTAGTTAAACTGCAGAGCCCTCGACCCCCTCCCTTGGCAAAATCACCCCCGTTTTCTCCAGATTTCGGGGGGAGGCAAAGCAGAACCAGAACAGAAGGAGAACATGAAAAATTCAAACAACACTGAGTGGAGGTCAGCAATAGAAGAGCCAGAAGAGTTAAACCGGCCCCCGCTTCCTCTGTTTCTTTTGGGGGGAGATCTGTGGACCCCCCTGCACAGATCTGGAGCCTCTGGGGAGAATTGAATGAAAGGGAAAAAAGTATTTTATCTATTCCAAATTACAAGTCTAGAATCTGTTAAAAGCTAAATTTCTCAGCACTGGCCCAAATTCTATTCCCTGACCTGAATTCTCCAAAACTGCTCTCCAGCGAAATACTTCTGGGGCTCAGCAGAGCTTATTTCTGGGAGGGAAATTTGGGTGGGCAGCAGAAGAGCAGAGGCCAGCATGAACCAGCCCAAGCTTTTCACCCCACCTGGGCCAAACGTACCGGAAGGAATATCGATGCTGACCACAGGGATGGTCACCTTTTCCAAGGTGCTCAGGATTGTACCGAAAGGCTCCCGCACGGCTCCCTGGAAGCTGAATCCAAAGATGGCATCCACCACCAGACCGTAAACCTCGTCGATGAGGGCAGCCTGCGATGGAAATCAAACTTGTGTGAACACACCTCAAGGGTGCAGATGGAGACGAGATGCTTCAGTCCAGCCGTCCCCAACCGGGGGCTCTCAATCTTGGCACTTGAAGATGGGTGGATTTCAACTCCCAGAATCCCCCACCAGCCTTAACCAGGAGCTGTGGTGGCGCAGTGGTTAGAATGCAGTATTGCCAGCAGTTTGATTCTCACTGGCTCAAGGTTGGCGCAGCCTTGAGGTCAATAAAAGGAGGACCCAGATTGTTGGAGGGAAATTATGACCACTGCAAACCGCTTGGAGGGGGCTGTAAAGCACTGTGAAGCGGTTTATAAGTCTTAAGTGCTGTTGCTATTAACCCTAACACACCCTTGCAGAACTGCATCTCGACCTTGGCAGCGTGAAGATGGGTGGACCTCACTTTTCTTTTTGACTTACTTCAGATGGAAACTCTGTGAGGAAGGGGATCTCCATCTTCTTACACTGGGTGGTTAAACCTTCAAAAAGTGGCTTGTTGGGGCGTTTGGGATAATAGAGGGTCGGCTCGTAGCCCTGTAAAGACAAGAAGGTTGACCTGTTGCTGCTGGAAGGCATTTCTGGTCTCTCTGGGGTCAGCTTTCTTCCTTGATGCCTTTTGTGCGACCACAGTGTGAGAAGACTTCCTCAATGGGCGGAAGGCCAGCCATCCAAACATGGCACAAACACTCCTCCATGGGCAGAGGCTGGCAAGCCAGAGGCTCAGCTGCTGGGGGGTGGGGGGTGGGGTGGGGTGCGTACTGCAAGTGTTCCCTGCCAGCAGCACTTACAAACTCAACCGGGAAAGGTGCAAATCACTCACAAACATTTTCAGATGACGGGCACAGACTAATCCATCTCCACCGTTGTTCCCAGGGCCGCACACGATCAGCACCGCTGGCTGGCTGATGGTGAAAGTACTGGTTGGGTATGCCTTGGGGAAAAGAGGTTCATCCTGAGAATGACAAATTTCTTGGGAGACCCACAAACACAAAAGGGATAGCGGGAAACAGTGTCAAGATTCCTAATCCTAATCTAATGAAATGCAAGGGTTCTAGTCCTCAAAAGTCTACACATAAGCTCCTTGAAATAGATAAAACTGGACATAAACACAGTTTTAGGACTCCTGGATTTTGTGACCTTCAACCATAAATAGAGTTTTATACATTTGCATCATATTCCCAGTCCCCTCACTGATGTCTACTTAAAAGGAAGATAGTTATTCCCTCACCCCAAAAGGATAGAAAAAAAATATCAGTGAAAGATGATTGATAAGTTTTGGACCCCTGAACTGAAGATCTGTTACAAAACATTACTTTCAGTGGTGGACCTATATCTTGGGACCTATAGAATTATAACAGCTACATACAAAGACTATAAAAATTATGTGAGACATTGCTGTATCGACTCTAAGATTGGTTGCGTTAGATAAGGCCAATACTTGGGGAATACAATAGTTTTGACAGAATATTTGGAGAGGGAAACAAAATGGGAATCTATATTGAGAAAGTGAATATGTATTAACAAATGGACCCAGACATCACGCTGTTTACTAAGCACTTATGATTTGTAAAAACTGAAAATTAATAAAATATTTTATAAAAAAAGAAATGAAAGATGATTCTTTTATTTCATCCCATTGGAAACATAAATTATTTGGAGAGAACTTTCTTTTCAAGGAAACACTGTCCACGCACACACACACATATACAGAGGCCAAAAGCTCTATAATTCCTACGCAACTTTCACAGAACTTAACTCTAATGGGGGGTTAAGAGAATATAAATACTGCATTTTTATATCATGCCATGCTGCACGCAACCCTCTCCTTCACATGAACATGGGAAGGCGCACGGATGCCAGCATCCTTCACTCTCAGCTCCGCTCTCTCATCAGAACCCAGCTTTTCATTCTCTGGAAACAGAACTGCTCGAGACAACAAGGTGAAGGTTTTGGCTTCCCCTGGAGCTGGCCTTTGCCTGGAATTCCTACAGCTGAGCCGAGCCCCCCCCCCTTTACCTTGGCAATGGCCGTGGCACAGCTGAGACCCGCCAGCTCCATCAGCTGGTCCACGCTGAACTTGTACTCCTCAAAGAGCTCCTGGTCGATGGCCTGGGCTTCTTTCTGCCTGGAGGGGACAGGAGGGAACTGCTGAGCCCAGGTGTTGTGGCTCCGTCCTGTGGGTCCCTCTCATCGGAGGAGGAAGGCTCTGAACATGAAGGAGATGGCCAGGCCTCCCTCTCCAGGACCTTCCCCTCTGGTGCGGCCTTCGGTGCCTTCCGACGGAGAGGAGATTGGCCAGGAGCCAGGTGTTTCTGGGATGGCCAGGAGCCAGGTGCTTCTGGGATTGGCCAGGAGCCAGGTGTATCGGACTCCGAGGAGGATACGTCTTGGCTGGATCCACGCCAGCCAGCGTCGGAGGGACAAGCGTGCGCAGCAGCTAAAACGCCGTGCCAGAGATTTCAGCTGAGTCACTGGGCCACACCCCACAGGCTATATAAGCAAGGGGTGTGCCGTTTGAAACTCTTGTGACGAACAATTTTGCTGAATCTTCTGTTGCAGCACTCCGGCAATTATCCTGGACTTGTCTTGTGTTTGTCTTGTGTTATCAGTAAAGGTCTTGGCAGGCAGCCACGGAGTTGCTGCCAAGTGTTTATCTGTATTTTGGCAGTGCTGAGCAGTCTTTTAGCCCTCGGCTGACTGGTTGGGGGGTGTGAGTCGGGCGGGGGACAGAACACCAGGACCCATTTCCATTGCATCCACATTCCCCTCCCCCCCCCCAGGAAGAGCGGCATTGATCGTTCCCTGCCCACTACCCAGAGAGGCAGGTCCACAGTCCCCAAATGGTGGACTGGAGCCCGAACCCCCTTTCCCCCCCCCCGCTCCTGGCTGGCCTGCTTGGCGCATTCTGTGCCACCCGGGCGGGCAAGGACGGGGCTGCCTGCTGCCTTCGCCCTTTTGGGGAGATGAAAACCCAGCATGAGAGCTGATCCTGGCTCCAAAGGAGGTTGGACGGCTCAGATCTGTCTGCCTCCCCGGCCAGGTTCCCGGCAAGGAAATGAGCAAGAGAAAAGTCGCTGGCTGCGGACGGGGGGTGGGGGGGAGCTGCTGCCCCTTCTCCGAATCCAGGGCTGCCCTCGGAGGAGGCGCCCAGGGCCTCTGCGCCCTCCAGGACCGGCGCGGGGAGGGGCGTTTGCCTCTCGGTTCTTTTTCGGGGGGGGGCTCGTGCATCGTGCAAAGACGGCGACCGGAGTCGATACCCCAAAGCACCCCCCCCTTCCAAACCCGCCTCTGCCGACGGGGGCTGTCTCAGCCGGCCGGCCCTGCTTCCTCCCTCCGCGGCTTCGGGGCTCGCCTTCCCTTCGGGCGCCCTTCTCCCCCCCGCCCCCGCTCCCCTACGGCTCCCGGGGAGCGAGAGCGCCTCCTGTCCCGTCCCGTCCCCGCCGCCAGCCGCCGCCTACCCCAGGAACTTGAGGCCGGGCGCGGCGGCGCTCTGCATGGCGCGGGGAGGCGGCCAGAGCGCGGCTGGACAGCGCCCCGCGGCCCCCGCCCTGGACAGCAGCAGGCCGAGTCCCAGCAGGGCCGCCCGGGACATGCGGCAGCTCCCTTCTTCGGCAGGCGGGCAGGCAGGCAGGCAGGCGGCTCTTCCGACAGCAGCCCCGCGGAAGGGCCGCCGCAGGGACCCGGGCCCAGCCCCCGCCGGCGGGCGTGACTCCCGGGGCGGGGGGAGTCTCTGCGGAGGGGCAGCCGCGGTCTCGGGCGCGCCGGGGCGGCCGGAGCGTCTGAGCGGGACGGGGCGCCTCTGGGACGAAGCCCCGCCCGGCCCCGCCACGCCCCCGGGAAGAGCTCCGGCGCCCAGCAGGCTCCGCGGCCGTCCAGCGAGCGCCAGGCGGCGGCGGCGCGGGAGATTCAAACCTCGCAGGCGGAGCGAGCGGCAGCGGCCATGGCGCAGCGCGGGCGGGCTCCCTCCGGCTGTGAGTCTCCGGGAGGGAGGGCGGCGGGCTGCAGGACGCGGCGGCGGGGAAGCCGAGCGCGGAGCTGTGCGCGCCGGTCCCTCCGCTCCGGAACCGCGCCAGGCTGGCTGCCGGCGCTGGGTCTGGCCGTTGGGCCTCCGGAGGCGGCCTTGCCCTTTGCGCTCCGGCCGGGGAGCGGGGGGGTGAAGAAACCCGACGGAGCCTCGTTCCCCTGGCCGCGCAGGGCGGACGTTAAGCGGGCAGCGGGAGCCGCGCCCTCGGCCCCGGGGGCGGGGAGGGGCGCAGCCTCTCCTGCCCTCGAGGCGCCCTTGGTGGGGAAGGGTCGGAGAGCGGACGGTGAGGTCCTCCCGGGGCTGCTGGGGGTCAGCCGGGCCCTTTATGCAAGCAGGGATGTCCAGCCTTTGGGCTTGCCTGGGCCACCCTGAGCGAAGAGGGATTGTCTTGGGCCCCCCGTATAAAATAAGTAGTATAGTTGAGGCATATAAATAACAAACTTCCTTTATTTGTCGTATTACATTTACAATCTTGTGGGGCCCTTGTCCCTGGTGCAGAACAATCTGCCAACTTAATCTAAAGTATTGTTTCCCAGCCTTGGCAAGTTTTAGAGGTGTGGACTTCCAACTCCCAGAATTCCCTAGCCAGCATATAAATAACAAATACAGCTGGCTAGGGAATTCTGGGAGTTGAAGTCCACACCTCTAAAACTTGCCAAGGCTGGGAAACAGTACTTTAGATCAAGTTGGCAGATTAAAAACAAAGAAGCATGTTCTAAAGCTCAGAGACTGGAGAAAGCTAAGATGCAAATTGCTGCGTCCGCTGATGTGGCATGAATATTCTGTATGAAACCTCCAGAGACCCTGGAGGCAGTGAGAAAATGAACAGGTCCAGTCACTTGCTGTGCTGTGTTTATTTGTGGCTCCCTCGGCTGTGTCTCACTGGCTGAGTGACAAAGGTTGGATTCACAAACTCTACTGGGCTAAAACACTCATCCCTCAGTTCAGCCGGGTTGCCCAGCCAAGACTGAAAGCAAATTCCAAAACTGGGGAGCAGGATGTGGGGGGGGGCATCTTGGGCCCCCAGGATGCCATTCTTGGGGAGATCAAAGAGAACCCGCAGGATGGTTATTTATTACATTCCTATTCTCACCAATGAGGCGACTGGGCAACTTACAAAAATGGCCTGGGGACTCTCCTGGAATTTTGTCTTGGGGTGAAATTCTTTCTGGTTCCCCCAGATGAGCGTCTCACGGCGGATGAGATGGACGAGAGGCGGCGGCAGAACGTGGCCTACCAGTATCTCTGCTACTTGGAGGAAGCCAAGCGGTGAGGCGGTTTTGGGGGTAGCTGGGTGGGAGAGAATACCCGATTCGCTTTCACGGGGAAGCCCTTTGTATTTGAAAGACTGCCCCCCCTCCCCAAAAGATCCTGAGAAGTGGTAATTTCCCTTCCAATATGTGTGATCAATTATCATGGATTAAAATCAATCCATGTGCTTGCTAGAAGCCAGAAACAACTTTGAAGCCATAATTATAACAGGTGATCAGGCTGGAGAGCCGCAAAGAGCTGAAAGGACCTCAGAGGTCATCCTGACCAACCCCTGTTCAGTGCGGGATCCACCGGAACAGTGTTTCTCAACCTTGACCACTTGAAAAACTCCCACAGAATTCTGGGAGTTGAAGTCCCCCCATCTTCAAGTGGCCAAGGTTGAGAAACTGCCCCAGCCATTTAGCTGTTCCTCATAAGGTTTCGTTCCCATGTCTGAACTTGCTTTTGTTTTGAAGCAAGTGGATCTGAACGGGGGAGGGGCTGAATGAACCCAAGCGGGTCTGAATGTTGTGGGTGTGTTTGCGTGCACGCTTTAATTTGGATCCCCTAAAGGAGTTTGAACTACATGACCATCGAGGGGCCTCCCAGCACTGCCCCTCTGAAAAGAAGGGGGGCTCCTCCTGTAAAAGGCAAGGCCAGCCCTGCCTTATTTCAGTGAGGGATGCAGCTAGAGGGCCCCCCAGAGACGAGGGACCGGAGGGCGCCTGTGTGAACATCCAGAAGGAAACTGGGTAGAGATGCTTCTTCTTCCTCCTCCCCCCCCCCTTGGCCACAGGACTTGGAGGGTCAGCCACTTAATTTAAAAAAGTGGTCGGTGTTTGGACACTTCTGCCCAGTGGGAGGACAGGGCTTTTCTGGTGCCCCTGCCCCAAATCCTAGATCAGACTAGGTGTCTCCTGAGGGGCTACTGACAAAATCCGAGGGACGCCTGGGGTCGAGAGGGGTAACCTTGCCCCACTGTCCCCCTCAGCTGGATGGAGGCTTGCCTGAAGGAGCCGCTGCCCCCTCCGACGGAGCTGGAGGAGAGTCTGCGCAATGGCGTCACCCTGGCCAAGCTCGGGCATTTCTTTGCTCCGGATGTCTGTCCCTTGGGGAAGATCTATGACCTCGACCAGGCCCGTTTCCAGGTGAGAGGCTCAGGGGGCCTGGAGCCCTCTCGGTCTGGGGGTCAGGCAGGGGCTCCCCTCTGGTCTTGCTGGCTTCTGCTACTCCCCATCCCCTCGGGGGTCCAAGAGCTGGTCCTGGGGCCTCTGGAGGCCAGGAGTGGGGTAAACAAGCTTGGAAAGGCCCCCTTCCAGCCCCGAGGCTGGTGGTCCTGGTCAGGAGTCTAGAGCTGGGGCTCTTGCAGGCCACCACAGCTTGGGTTTTGCTCATAAGACGCTTGTGTGACTAGGGTGGAGACCCCCAAAGGGAGACAGACAGCTTCTGGTCTGGGGTCTGCCATTCCTGGGCAGTCTTGCTCACCAAGGCAGCTGGTCCTTCCCCCTTGTCCTTCTGCTTGTTGGGACAATCCGTGGCTTTTCCCCCAACTTGAAGGCTGGACGGATGCTTCTCCCTGCCCAGGGCTTTTGGGCAGGATCCTAGGGCAAGATGGTCTCACAGGGTGTCCCCCCCCTCCTCTCCTTGCCACAATCTCTCCTGCACATTCGCTTGACTTTTCCCATGCCCATCGCACCATGTAGAACAGGGGTTTCCAATCTTGGCAAATTTAAGACTTGTGGACCTTGGCTAGGGAATTCTGGGACTTGAAGTCCACAAGTCTTAAAGTTGCCAGGGTTGGACACCTCTGATCCAGAAGCAAGACTGCTCCATCTTCATATTTGGCAGAGGAGAAGCTACACCTTGAGACTTTCCAGTGCCTAGTAAAGGGGGTGCAGGCCTCTGGTGAGGGTCTTGGCACAGCTGCCAAGTCTTCCTTCTGACTCCAAAATAGGGGGCTGCTCAATTCTGGAGCAGTCCCTGTCCCCAAGGTCTCGTGATGGGTCTAGTAGGGGTGACAATGTTCTCTGTCTTCTCCTCTTCCTCTCTGAAGGCCTGTGGGCTCCATTTTCGACACACGGACAACATCAACCGCTGGCGGGATGCTATGAGCCGTGTTGGACTGCCTGTGGTAAGGCCAGGGCCTTACCCACCTTCGCTGGGGATCTGGGGGAGGGTCCCCTTCATGCTTTGACACCTGCTCCTTTCTCCCAGATTTTTCAGCCCGAAACCACTGATATCTATGACAAGAAGAACATGCCTCGTGTGGTGTATTGCATCCATGCCTTAAGGTGAGCCTTCAGGTGTGTGGGGGGGGGAGAAAAGACCCTCCCCCAATAGATATCACTTTGGTCTCAGTTCACAAGAAGTGGGGTAAACTTTGCCACTTCAAACCAAGCAGCTTTCTGAGATCTTGAGGGGGGCGTTCCCGCTTCCTAGCCTTGCCGGTAGCTGGGGGATTTCTTTGTGGTGCCCCATCCAAAGATTAGCCAACCGTGCTTAGCCTTTTTAAGGACAATAAGGTAGTTGTCAGATTAGGTGAGAATGTAGTTGGGGCTGTTTCTATCCACTCTTCCTCTAATTTAGGCTTCTTTTCAGTCAACTAGTAAGGAGTTTGTGCGTATAAATCCTACTATAGAAGCTGATCTTGCAACAGTTTTAAGGGAGAGCTTAGGCCAAGACCGAGTTAAAAGTGCATTAAAGACCAGGGATTGATTAAGGAATAAAGATTCCTACCTATCTTGCAAAGGAAGCAGCATAAACTATTACACAAATAGACATCTTTTATTCTCTCATTAACCCTGTCAGCACAGTGGCCTAGAGGTGGAGCTCTCGCCTCACAATCAGGAGGCTGTGAGTTCAGTCCTAGGTAGCGGATTAAGAAAAGAACATTCTCACATACCATTCGTGTTTGACCCATGTTCAACCAAGTTCTCTTGTTTGTTTTTCTGATCTATCTTCCAGCTTATACCTGTTTAAATGTGGGCTGGCTCCCCAGATTCAGGATCTGTATGGAAAAGTTGACTTTACAGGTAAGACAGACAAAAGGAGACGTGGAATTCTTTGGATTCTTGGAATCCTAGAGTTTGAGGGCAGTTATAAAAAATACAATCTCACTGCCCTGCTTCTCTTCTTTGCAGGGCACGTCATTTATTTGGCACTTTGACTTTGAATTGTGCTAACTCTGTTGCTGTAGGACAGGAGTTTCCAACCTGGGCCACTTTAAGATTTGTGCATTTCGGCTCCCACTGCTGGCTGGGGAATTCTGGGAGGAAGCTCACAGGTCTTAAAGTTGCCAATGTTGGACACCCCTGCTGCAGGAGAACGGATGGGTCTTGGAGAATGAATGAAGGGAGAAACTCAGTTTCTTATAACCTGAGAATTCTGCTCCTTAAACAGTGATCAACGGGGCTGAAGACCCTGACAGATTGGGAGGGAGAGAATGGGAGCCTGGACCCTCTCGCCTGACCCCTCTCTCTGCTTTCTTCCAGATGAGGAAATAAACCACATGAAAGGGGAGCTAGAGAAATACGGCTTGCAGCTACCCTCCTTCAGCAAAATCGGCGGCATCCTGGCCAAGGAGCTCTCGGTCGATGAGGCAGCAGGTACTGTATGCGCTGACCGCTGTCTGATCCACGGGATCTGCTGCTCTCTTCTCCCCCACGTTAACCCGGCTTCTCCCCTTCAGTGCATGCTGCCATCCTGGCTATCAACAAAGCGGTAGAAGTGGGGATTGTGGCAGAGACCATGGCGGCTTTGTGCAACCCCAGCGCCGTGCTGGTGGGTCTGCAGGAGAGTTTGGGAGGCCCCTACCAGGAAGAGCTCTGCCGGGCCAAAGAAGAGAAGGCCGAGAACGCAAAGAATCGGGTAAGCACAATAAGATTTGTTTCCCCCCCCCCCATCTCTCTCTCTCTCTCTCTCACACACACACACACACCTACCTACCTACCTACCTACCCGTTCTCCCTGCTCTTGTGGGATGTCAGCCCTGCTCACTGGGGTTTGGCTGATTGCAGAAGGGAAGCCAAACCTTTGCTGGCGATCCGGGGCACGTGAGCAGCCTCTCAGTGCCCTGGCGTGGAAAACTCTTCTGCTCAACTGACTTCAGTTCCCATCCCTGATTATGCAAATGTGCAATTAGAGAATGCAAATTAGCTTTCGGTTGCATTTTTTTTTTCCCTCCCTGGTAAGCTCCAAGAGAGGTGCAGTCACGGGTGGTGGGATGAATCCCACCTCTCTCCGGGCAATTTCTCTTCCTCTGTTTGATTCATTTGGAGCTATTCTGCAGGTGGCAAAATGCCGCTTTGGACCGTTTCCCTTTGCTTGTTCTCAGCACCTGCAGAAGAAACCTGATGGGGAGGACATTTACGATCACTGTTTGACCCAAGCGGAAATCCAAGGCAGCATCAATTTGGTGAACAGTGAGTAGACCAAGACCCGCTTCTGCTTCTGCTGCTTCGGAAGTGGGAAAGTCCTTTGTCTTGATTGGACGTTGCTGCAAATCCGGTTTCTCCCTGCAAGAATGAAGAGTCCAGACGAGTGTTCCTCAGCCTGGGCAACTTGAAGGTGGGTGGACTTCAACTCCCAGAATTCCCGAGCCGGCATGTGGGATGAAACCATAAATCAGTGATGGCGAACCTTTTAGAGACGAGTGCCCAAAAACTGGCCCCGCCCCTGCTCTAACCCCTGCCCCGCCCCTGCCCCACCCCCACCCTGCCTGCCCACAGGGCCACTCACCGCCTCCAGGGCCCGCGCAGATTGCCTAGGCAGCCCATGGCGGCCACGCCCTCTGCCCGCACCCCGCAGCATCAACTGTGCATGATGGGGTGTGAGGGCAGAGTCTTGTCTACGCTACCTGGCTGCCATGTCCTTGGCTGCGCTGCTCCACGTGGGCCATGCTCGGGGGCAACTCTCCTCCAGGGGGACTGCTGGTGAGGAGGGAGTTGCGGGAGGAGGCAAGGCTGAGGCAACGGCGCGTGTGCCCACAGAGAGGGCTCCGAGTGCCGCCTCTGGCACCCGTGCCATAGGTTCGCCACCACTGCCATAAATCGTGCTGACTAGGGAATTCTGGGGGTTGAAGTCCACCCACCTTCAAGTTGCCCAGGCTGAGGAACACTGGTCAGATCGTGTTTTGGGGTTCCTGAGGGCCCTACCCGTGCCTGGTTTTCCTTTCCCATTCTGTTTTGGGGTGGACTTGGAGGAATGTTGACTATTGCCGGCATTGTCTGTGTGTAGTATGGTTGTAGTAGTGGTATTTATCCTTCTTTTGACTACCCCATCTTATTGATATTATTATGATTATCATTATTCTGTTGCTTTGCATGTACACTGAGAGCTTCTGCACCAGAGACAAATTCCTTGTGTGTCTAAGCCCAATTGGCCCATAAAGTATTCAGTTTAATTCATCTAGTTAGTCTTGGCAAAAATCCCCGTTTTCAAACCATAGTTTGTCAATGAAGCGATCTTGTCAAATCAGAGTTAGCCTTCTCTGGAAAAGCCCTGGGAGGCTCACTCCCATCTCCCTGCCACCATCTCTGGTGAGGACGGTGAGACCGGCAGCCTTCCGACTGCATTCAGGATGCTCTGTGGAGTTCTCTCCTGGGACACTCCTGAGGGGCCCCATCTGGCCCTCTGCCTCATGCTGCAGGGTGCAGGGCAGGTGCTGAAGCTGTTTCAGGGGAGGATCAGAGCCTGGAAAAAATTTCCATAAGGGGAAGGCGGGTGGGTTTGGGGGGAAATTTCTCATGTTCTGGTGGCCGTGCCTTCAGTGGAGTCAGGCCTCAGTCTTGGCTGAAGTGAAGCAGAACTTAGGGTCTTGGGCAAAAACCACCCGAGGGGCGTTTCCAGCATTCCTGAGCTGAGTGGGTGGGCTCTGGCCATTCTGGAGGATTCTGAGGGGCTCTAGCTGGGGGTACTGACCCTGAGCACCTGTTGGACTGGTTGCTTGCAGAGTGGACTAAATCTGCCCCCTGTCCGGTCTGGGAAGGAGGCCGCCTCCTCTCCCTGCCTACAGTCCAAGAAAGAGCTTTTGCATGAGATCCTTTGTGACCCTTTCCTCCTCTTTAAATCAGTCAGGAGTGCCCTTGAGATGGTGGAGGACGCTCTGGAGGCCCAGGACCCTCAGACCTTGTACCACGTTTTGCAAGATCCTATCCTGGCCCTGAAGAGCCTGCGGCGCGACAACGCCAGCTGGTACCTGGATCAACTCTCTGCTGACCGGGAAGAGAAGGCCCTGGTATGCCAATGGGGAGCAGAATTGGGGCAGGAAGGGGAGAAGGGGCCCTCCTTGGGTGTCACAAGGCTGGGAACTTTCTGGATTGCACTCCGCTTGCATCGGCCTTCTGTAAGACAATGAGAAGAGGCACCTTCAGGTGGATTCTGCAATGGAGTTGCCTGCGAAATCTACACACACACACACAATGCCACCAAACCCAACGGGAGCATTTTGTGCGCCCCCTGAAGTCGTCCCGGATTGTTGGACGACCATTTTGTTCAGTCTTATCTGAATAGCGTCTTTGGGGCTAAGAAGCATCCAGAGAACTCTGTGATGGAGGGGAACCTCCAATAACACTAATAGGGGAGCCCAGATCTTGTTTAAAAGCTCCTTTTTATAATGATTTATTGGAGGACATCACAAGAGGCCCACTGATGTTCCAGTTGGATGCTGCATCAGCTTTCCTGCTAACAGTATCTACCCTCTTCCATCAAGGCTGTTCCTAACCTTGATCATCTGTGCCAACTCTCTTCCTAGTAGTTTATTCAGAACATCTTTCTTTCTTTCTTTCTTTCTTTCTTTCTTTCTTTCTTTCTTTCTTTCTTTCTTTCTTTCTTTCTTTCTTTCTTTCTTTCTTTCTTTCTTTCTTTCTTCAGGAATTGGGACACGTTGACTTGCTTGAGCAAGGAGAAATTCAAGCTGGACTTTATGTGGCCAACCAGAGAAGTGATCAGGAGCGGGCTGGTGAGTGGAATTGTGCTCCAGGACAAGACCTGAGGGAGGGTTCAGCCTTGGCTGGTTGGGTGCTGCCTTGCTTTTGGGGGACAAAGAACCCCTGGGGAGAGGTCTCCTGCTGGGGAGTCCCGCACCTCCTGCCCCAACGTCACCTTTCTCAAACACCTGAGAATGCCCCCTGCACCTGTCCAGCCGCGCATGCTGTGAGCCACATCAACGCCTCCTTGCGAAGAGGAATCGCAGAAGAGACGGTGCGCGCCCTGGCGAAGCCCGAGGCTCAGCTCCCGGAGGTCTTCCCCTTTGCCGCTGAGCTCTACCAGCAAGACCTGTCTGCCCTGCAGCGGCAGCAGCCCCAGGTGAGCAGGTGACCCGAAGGCTTCCTGGAGGGGGGGGGAAGGGTACCAGCTCAAATGGCTGCTGCCTTTCTTCTTGTTGTGGCTCCGTCCTGTGGGTCCCTCTCATCGGAGGAGGAAGGCTCTGAACATGAAGGAGAGGAGATGGCCAGGCCTCCCTCTCCAGGACCTTCCCCTGTGGTGCGGCCTTCGGTGTCTTCCGACGGAGAGGAGATTGGCCAGGAGCCAGGTGCTTCTGGGATTGGCCAGGAGCCAGGTGTATCGGACTCCGAGGAGGATACGTCTTGGCTGGATCCACGCCAGCCAGCGTCGGAGGGACAAGCGTGCGCAGCAGCTAAAACGCCGTGCCAGAGATTTCAGCTGAGTCACTGGGCCACACCCCACAGGCTATATAAGCAAGGGGTGTGCCGTTTGAAACTCTTGTGACGAACAATTTTGCTGAATCTTCTGTTGCAGCACTCCGGCAATTATCCTGGACTTGTCTTGTGTTTGTATCATGTTATCAGTAAAGGTCTTGGCAGGCAGCCACGGAGTTGCTGCCAAGTGTTTATCTGTGTTTTTCGCAGTGCTGAGCAGTCTTTTAGCCCTCGGCTGACTGGTTGGGGGGGGTGAGTCGGACGGGGGACAGAACACTTCTTTGCAGAGCAGTCCTTCTTTCCCACCCCATCTCATCTCCAGACCCATTTGGCCCCGAGCTTTTCAAAACTTTTTTTTAAAGATCAAGAGGATGGGTCCTTCTTGTCCTTTCCACTCTTTACAAAATATTTAGACTAAGAACAGTTCCAAAGTCCATTTACAGAGTCAGGTGCATGTCCTGGGCTGCAGGTGGGTGTCTCCTACCTGTCGGGGCTGGGGGGGGGTGGCATTGCGATGGGGAAGCCACCGGCTGGCTTGGCAGCGTCTGCTTGGGCTTCCTTGGGGCGTACCTGGCTTGGGACAAAGCTGGTACCTGGCCTCCTTTGGCAGGGGAAGCTGGCCCAGGAAGAGCTCTTTGTGGCCGTGGAGATGCTGTCCGCCGTGGCGCTGGTCAACCAGGCCCTCGAGGATGGAGACAGCGCCAGCTTCTGGAGGAGCCTCCTCAGCTCCGGCCTGGGCCTCTGCGGCGTCGAGGAGAGCCACGCCCAACGGTAAGACGCCCGGCTCCGCATGGGGGCCCACCCTCCTCCGCCTCCCCCCGCCACAGCATCTGGCGCTGGGTGCAGGGCAGCCGAGGGTCCTGAAATCGGTCACCTTTGGAGGACGGGTAGTCCTCAGTTCACCATCACGATTGGGAGCAGAATTTCTATTCTAAATTGTTGTCGTGTTGGACACAATTTAATGACAGGTTTTATGGCAGTTAAGTGAATCACCCTGGTCGTTAAGCAAATCACATGATAAACTGAATCCAGCCTCCTCATTGGACATTTTTTGCTAAAAATTGGCCCCAAAAAAAAATAAAAAATTGCAGATCACAATTGCTGCGACAGATGGTAGATACGAGAGGGTTGCCAGGCTCCTGGATTGCACTCTCTTGACCCGGTGGTGTGACTGGCGAAAGTGCAGGTTGTAAGTCACTTTTTCCAAGAAAGTTACGACTTAAACGAACGGCTGTAAGTCGAGGGCTGCCTGTAGACCCTGATTGATTTCTGCCTTCTAAGTAACGCTACTTGCAGCTGGCCTTCTCGCTCGTCTCCATTCTGCAGATATTTTGAGGGCCTGTCCAAACAGAAGTGCCTCTTTCGGGAAAACCGGCGGAACTTCCTGAGTTGGAACGATATCCAGGCCTCAGTGAACGACGTGAACGGCTTCGTCCAAGAAGAGCAGGAAAGTAAGGCTCTCTGCCCCAAGGAGATTCTGGGTCAACTGCGGTGGACGACGTGTGTGGGGTGCAACTGGCCTCCCAGCCACAGAGCCCTTTTGGGCCGCTTGGGTTGGTGGCCGCAAAGAGGCTGCAGGCCTGTCTGGGCCTCTGTGGCAGAGAGCAAGGCTTCTGCTCCTGAAATCAGATGCTTTGTTGGAGCCAGTTGGGAGACTCCGGGCCAGCCCCGCTCTCTCAGCCCCACCCACGTCCAAGGATTGTTGTCGTGGGGGAAGCAGGAGAAGGAAATAATATCTATTTTTCATATTACCATCTTAATTGCCCATCTCCCTTGGAGATGTATGTTTGCCACCTAATAACAAAGGCAGGATAAAAATCTGAGAAATAAAAATAAATACAGGACTCATTCCAGAACTACAAACCGCTAAAGATTCCTTTTCCAGAGTTTAAAACCTGAACATTAAAATGCACAAGTCAGAAACCGCAACTAGCCAGGCGATGCCTCAAGGTAGCCCTGAGGTGCCCCATTGGGATAATTCCACCAAACCCTTAAAAAGCGTTTCTCTCTGGCCCTGGGTTCAGCCAATGCCGCCCTCTCCTCTTTTAGAAATCCTGGCTGTCCGGCTGATCAACGAGGCTCTGCAGGGCGACTGTCCGGAGAAGACCCTCAGGGCTCTGCTCCTGCCATCGGCCAACCTCGCCGATGTGATGCTCCCCAGAGCCCAGCGGTACCATTTTGTTCTGGCCCAGATGTCGAGGCAGAAGGCCCAGGTAGGGAAAGAAGGGTGGGGGTCTCCTGAGCTAATGCAGAAACACCACCAGGCACCTGGACCAAACGTTTCAGGCGCTCCCAAAACTGGGTCTGGCTGAGCATCTCCAGAAGCTGTGCTGAGGGCTACACAGAAGCAAGAAGTGGTTTTATGAACTGACAGAAACCAGACCAGCCCAATTTTATTGCCTCCTTTCTCCGAATAGCCTCACTGCCTGCTCCAGTCAGTTGTGCTACAATTCCCAGAATTGGGACCTTGGGGAATCGCAGTGCACACGTATGGATGATACTGTGCTTTTGGGTGGTTGAAGCAGAAAGCTGCACTGGTGATTCTACAGTTTGTACCAAATTTGGGAGGATCAGCGAGGGCACCACAGTCCCCAAAGAGGGGAGGTTTGAACCACAGGCTGCTGGCCCTGATTTGCCACTCTAGGCCAGCTTGTCTTCTGTTGTGCCACTAGTTAGACCAGCATTTCTCAACCTTGGGAACTTTAAGATGGGGGGATTTCAACTTCCAGAATTCTGGGAGTTGAAGTTACCCCCCCCCCCCCCATCTTAAAGTTCTCAAGGTTGAGAAACGCTGAGTTAGGCACTGCAGGGGGAGTCTGTCTCGGGGATCCAAAAATCAGAAGGAATCTGGTACCCACTTTTCTGATGTACATAATTGGAGCTTGTGGTGTTGGATTTTTCATAAAATCTGTGAACCAGGAAAGGCTTTTTTACTTTTAACTAGCCCGGGGGTCTCAAACCTCCTGACAGTGGACTGGTACCGGTCCGTGGCCTGTTAGGAACCAGTTCATGGAAGTGAGTGAAGCTTCATCTGTACATGTGCAGGAGCTAGGTAACACGCGAAACCATCCCTGCCGCCCAGTCTGTGGAAAAATTGTCTTCCACGAAACCGGTCCCTGGTGCCAAAAGTTTGGAACGGCTGAGCTAGTTTCTAATCGCCTGAAGCGGTTTGGTCAGATCCTGTTCTGCGCTGTGGAGGGTGACAGCAACCCGCTCTTGGTGTGAGGCTTACAGGGACTCTGCCCATGCTGGCCTTCTCTGTCTGACCCTACCTCACAGGGTTGTTGTGGGAAATGTACGGCCATCCCGTGCACAGACCTTTGATTCGCTTTATCAACGTACAGGAGATTTGGCTTTTGTGAAGCTGGCAATCATAGCTTCTCCAGAGCCTTGACGTCTGTCTGGGGAAGAATGGCTGCATCGCCAGTTTCTGGGCGGTTCGGTCAGAATGGGGCCCTTTTGTTTCCTCCGGGCAGGTGACAGGAGACCCCGGAGCGCTCTTGTGGTGGGAAGAAATCCAAGAGGGGGTCTGCAGGGCCAACCAAGACAGCAAAGCTGCACAGCAAAGTAAGGCTGGGGGCTGCTCTCTGGGGTCCCTTCCGGAAGGAAAGGGGCTGATGGGCCGCCTGGATTGAGCAGCCGTTGGGAGGAAGATGGGCTTGGGAGATGTTCCCCTCCCCTGGGACCCACGGCTTCCTGTCCCAACCGCAGCCCCCTCTGCATCTCCCCGCAGTGGCCCTGGGCGTTGCTGCCATCAACCAGGCCATCAAGGAGGGGAACGCAGCCCAGACTCTGCGCGTCCTGCGCAATCCGAACGTGGGCCTCTGTGGCCTGGTGGCAGAGTGCGCCGTGGCTTATCAGGCACAGTTCTCTGCCGTCCTGGCAGCACGAAGGCCGGCAGGTAAAGGCGGGAGGGTCCATTGCTGCAGCCCAAACCCAGGAGCGCCCCCCCCCCCGCTTTCTACGTTGTTCATCCTGACCTTCGTCTTTAATGTTTTCCTTTGGGGGGGCGTGCAGGGGGCCACCCAGAGGCGCTCTGGGCACGGCACAGACTGAGAGATGGCTCAGAGTACTACTTCCACCTGCGGTCCTTTGAGGGGTCCTGGGAGCGGCCCCAGCCCCTCACCCTCAACACGGCCCATCTCAGCCAAGAGGAGATCCAGGTGGGTGTGGCAGAAGCAGATCCCTGGGCCAAACACTCAGCCACTGGATCCCACCAAGTCCATGCAATGCAGTGTGGACAGTTGGGGGGGGAGGGTTGCAGGGGAGACGGGCTGTGGTGGGTGGAAAGGCGTCTTCTGGGCACCATGGGGGGCTTTGGACTCGCCAGGTCCTTCCTGCTGCCACCTCATTTGCACCATGGGACGAAGGGTCCCAGTCTTGGCACAGGCTGCCCCCTTTTCCTGCCTCCTCTCTGGACATTTCCTTTCCCTGGAAAGCTTGAAGGGCATCACTAGGGCAGGTGGGCACCCTGGGAGGGCTCTCCGTGCAGGGAATCCTTGCTCCTTCCCTGGAGGTGAGCCGTCCCAATGGGCCTCTTGTACATCTCTCCTGCAGGCGGCCATCAACTGCGTGTCTTCCGCACACGACCGGGAGCGCCTCTGGCAATCCTATGCCTGGCTTGTGGTCCAGCTGCAGGCCCGGATGAGGGGCTTCCTGGTCCGCCACCACTGGGCGACTCGGCAACGGTTCCTATCCCAGCAGATGCCGGCAGCTACCAAAATCCAGGTGGGTGCAGCTCCACCTTTGCAGAGAGAGGCCGTGCTTTAAACAGGTTTCCTTCCTTGAACCCCCATCTTGCGATACGGGGAGTCTTCTCACCCCCGCTAGAGCAGGGTCCCCAACCCCTGGTCCATGGACCGGCACCGGTCCGCAGCATGCCAAAAACTGGTCTGCGTAAACGAGTGAAGCCCCATCTGTGGGATGCTGGCAGCACGTGAAACCAGGCCCCCCTCCGGTCTGCAGAAAAGCCTGTCTCCACGGAACCGGCCGTGGTGCCCAAAAGGCTGGGGGCTGCTGCCCCAGAGGAGCAGGGACCCTCGATCCTAGCAGTAGCTCCGTCAGAAGCCCCCAGACAGACCTGGCGTTAGCTGCCTCCTCTGCCCAGCTGGAAGGCCTGGGATGGAACTGGGAAAAGCCGTGAAGAGGCCAGTTTGGGAGGGGGCATTTGCTGCTGCTGCTGCTTCATAGGAAGACACCCCCCCTCTCCAATCTGTGAACGAGGCTGGGGAAGCCCATGGAAGAGGGGAGGGCTGTGCTCAGTGGGCCAAGGGGAGAGCCCCAGAGATGGGAGGGTCACCTTTGCCCTCTGCCCCCAGGCCACCTGGCGTGGGCACCTGCAACGCAGAAGCTACTTGGAGAGACTGCGCTACTTGCGGAGGAACACAGCTGCTGCGATCAAAGTGAGTTGGGGGGGTGTCAACTGTGTGGTGGGCTTGGGGGGGGGGCTGTTGGTCTTCTCTGTGAGGCTGCCGGTGGTGGCACTGATTGCTTTCCCTCTGCAATCTGGGCTGTGGCAGATCCAGTCCTGGGTGCGGATGTGGCTTGCCCGAAAACAGTACCTGGAGCGCCTGCGCTACTTCAGGAAGAATGTGAGTGTGTCTGTCCTGATTGTTATGAAGTTGCTTGGTTGGGGGGAGGGAGGCTTTTCCCCCGGGGGGGGGCGGGGTGAGCAGCCAAATGCTTCCAGCGAGCCCTTTTGCAGGCATCTCCGTCCTCAGGTTGCTCCTGAATGTGGAGGCTCCAATTTGAGTGCTGCTTTTCCAATTAATGTGTCTCTAAATAAAGTGCCTTTTGTTACCACTCATCATCCCCAACCTGCGCTCTCCAGATGTGCAGGGATGCCACTCGCATCGGGGGAAAGAAATGGATTGGACCGGTCGACTTTTTAGCAGGCCAGCTTTTTACAGCCAGTTTTTTTTGTGATCAACATGATCCAAGGGATCATTTTTTTTACTGGCCTCTCTTCTCCACGATTCTTCCCTCTGTGGGTGACCCTGCAGCCTCTTGGAGGTCTTGAGAATGGCAGAAAATTGCTGTGACCATTTTCATTCCCAGTTCCTGGGCAGATAATTCTTGGAAAGTTGACATCGGCTGCTGCAGGCTGGTGAATTCTGGGAGTCTGGGCCCATCTGGACAGCCCATCTCGGCCCATCTGGACAGCTGTTGTATCATGAAAAATCCTTGAAAAAATCACTAAATTAACCTAAACAGGTTCACACCAAACTAAGTTGAGGGGGAAATGATGTGATTTGCCCTCTTTTGTGTTTCTGTGAGCTGGTAAAGGTCAGGCGGCCTCTTTCCCTGCGTCTTTTGGCAGGTTGCAGCCGTGATTAGGATCCAGGCCTTCGTTCGAGCGAACAAGGCAAGAGAGGCTTATAGGGTGCTGGGTGAGTGTCCAGATCTTTGCTCGGGGCAGGACGGGGCGGGCTGTGTGTGCTCCTCCTTCCCAAGCTTGGTGGGAATTTGTGTGCACTTCAAGATGTGTATGTGAGCACCAATGAAATGCCTGATCTGTGGGTCTGGCTTTGCCTGGATGGCTCTGGAGGGTCTTCTGAAGTGCAGTTGATTGGGGATCAACGCGGAGCCCTCGTCTGCCCTGAAGGTGGGGGTGGTTTGGGGGGGCTCCTGAGGGCAGTGAGGCCACACCCCGTGTGATGGCTGGTCCGGCACTTTCTCTGCTGCCAGTGCACAGCAGGGACCCCCCGCTCAGCGTCATCCGACGTTTCGCCCACCTGCTGGAGCAGAGCCAGCGCGACTACCAGGAGGAGATGGAGCTGCTGGGGCTCCAGGAGAAGCTGGTGAGGGGGATCCGCTCCAACCAGCAGCTGGAGAACGACCTCAACCTCATGGACATCAAGATTGGATTGCTGGTCAAGAACAGGATCACCCTGCAGGTCAGGAGGGGATGGAATAGATCTCTGCATACAGCTGGGGAGGGGCTTCTGATTGAGGGTGCGACTCTGGGCACCGTCAGCGCTGATGGAAGCTGCTCGGCTCCTGCACAGGAGGAGTCCCAGCACCCCCATCAAGGCAGGGGCAGGAATTCGGGTGCCTGGCCTTCTTTGGTTCAGAAACTGATCTTTCCCCAGTTTGTGGGGGAAATTGCTGCCTTGTCATATAAAAATAAAATCACGCAGTAGCAATAAGTAAATGTTTCACACTGTAGGAATTAACCTGAAGATGCAGGCTTTAGCCTCTGAAGGAAGAGGTGACCAGCACCTAGCCCTCCTCCTAGACCAGATTTTCCCAAATTTGGCCACTAAGACACGGACTTCAACTCCCAGAATTCCATGGCCAGCCACGCAGAATTCTGGGAGTTGAAGTCCATGCTTCTTAAAGGGGCCAAGGTTGGAAAATCCCGTCCTTTCCGCCCAAAGGCAGAAGTGGCCCTTAATGTGCAGCTGGTCACCCTCGTTTCTTGGGTAGTGGCGGAGATGTTCTCCTTGCCGGCATCACCTCTGTCTGCCTCTTCCAAAGCTGCTTCTCAGCTTGTTCTCTCTTGCCATGGGGGTGGGGGTGGGGGGTGCCTGTTGAAATAGTGTCTCACGCGCCCTCCCTGCTGCACCCTCACCCCTGCCAGCGGGGCCCTGACCCCCCACTCTGAGGCAGCCCGTTTCCTGCCTCGTGGATCGTGACGGTGACCTCGGACAGATGCCCTCCTGAGTGGAGAAGAGGGCTGGACGCAGGCGTCGTGTCATTGTCCGGCTTCTCCCCTGGACAGGAGGTGGTGTCGCATTGCAAGAAGTTGACCAAGAAGAACAAGGAGCAGCTCTCCAGCCGGATGGACGAGAGCAAGGAGAACGGGCTGAAGGCGCTCAGCAAGGAGAAGCGGAAGACGCTGGAGGCCTATCAGCACCTCTTCTACCATCTGCAGGTGGGCAGCCCCTGTTGGCCTCGCACTAACACACCTCGTGCAGAGGAAAAGCTTTTGCGAGCTACGGCTCCCTTCACTCGGAGCATTGCACCTGACGAGGTGCTGCAGGCCTCTCGGTTGGGGCCGCTGCTGAGTCACACCAGGCAGCGTCTGCTTCAGGAGGAGCGCGCGACCCCTCGCTGCCGTTAGGACCCCTTGCTTGTTACCTGGGCAGCACCTTTTTTTTTTCAAACATGTTAGCACATCCATGAAGAAAAAAGGACTAAAGAAATGCATAGGTTGTGTAAAATTGACCAAGAATTCTCAAAGTAACGTTGTGTCACAGAGGCCATCTTGAGATATTTCATCTTTGTTTTATTAAGGATTAAGTCTTGTAATCTATATAAATTGTTCTCTCTCCGCTGATCAAATTACAACCACGCTTGGATGAACGCACCACCCAGGGTTGTGGCTTTGCCCTGGGAATCTGGTTCTCTGCTCTGCCCGATCTTTGGGCGGTTCAGCGGTTGCTAGCTGCCCTGGGCACGGGCAGGCGGATGTGGCACCCAGCCCAGGAAAGCCACCGGTGTTTCCCTCCTTCCAGACTCAGCCAGTGTATCTGGCCAGGCTGCTCATCCAGATGCCACCCAACAAGTCGACCAGGTTCATGGAGTCGGTGGTCTTCAGCCTCTACAGTTACGCCTCCAGCCCCAGAGAGGCTTACCTCCTGCTCCAGCTCTTCCGGCGCGCCCTGCGAGAGGAGATCGCGTAAGTCCCGGGCGCTCCCTCCCCGCGTCTCCCCTGGGAGTACAGCCAGGCTCCCTGGATGGCTCCTGACAGGGAAGGGAAAACCCCCAGGGGAGGGCACTGAACCGGCATTTGGTGGAAGCCTTAGCAGACCAGCCAGCCATTTGTCATGCATCACCTTTTCCTGCAGACCTTAGTAGGAGAAGCAGCAGCTGGGGACAGGGGCCCTGCTCTGTGCTCCTGCCACTTACCGGCTATTGTGAAGGCTATTATTCATTTAAATGTGGTTTTGTTTACGTCTGCTGAGGTTTACTGATTTCACAGGGCCCAGTGCTGAATCTACCAGGTAGTCCTCAGCTTAACAATTATTTGTTTAGCAGCCATTCAAAGTTACAACGGCACTGAAAAATGTGACAGCCGTTCCTCGCACTTATAACCATCACAGCATCCCCACGATCACATGATCAGAATCCAGGTGCTTGGCAACCAGCATGTGTTTGCAGTGGCTGCAGGATCACATGATCACGGTTTACGACCTTTCTAGCTGGATTCCAGGAAGCAAAGTCAGAGGGGAAGGTGGACTCCTTTAACTTTGCGTCTCCTTCCACGCGCCAAGAGGTTATTCTGGAATAAAAGGATGCTGGCCACAGAACGGTCGCCCTCCTCCCAGGTCCGAAGTGCTGCCTCTGTCTTCCTCCCAGGTCCAAAGTGACTCAGCTGCGGGAGATCCTCACAGGGAACCCCACTGTGATCCGCATGGTGGTGAGCTTTTATCGCAATGCCCGTGGGCAGAACGCCCTGCGCCAGATCCTGGCAGAGCCAGTGCGGGAGGTTCTGCAGAACAGGAGCCTGAGTATTCGCACCAGCCCCGTGGAGATCTACAGGGGGTGGATCAACGAGATGGAGTCCCAGAGTGGACAGCAGAGGTGGGCAGCCATAGCAGGCATTTCTTCACTACTTGGCTCTGTTCAGAGTGGGTGGGGTTGCGAATCCCGGAGGCAGATCTCACGGCTTTTGAGACTCGGAGAGCCTGCGGTACCCACGTAGACCGCAGAGTGGCTGGAGCAACAGGACCCCTCCTCCCCCAGCCCACACACACAAAAATTATAAGAGAGATCGTATTTTGTGTCTTTTGTACTAAAAAGCAAAGAAGTGAGCAGGGTTGAGGGTGCGTCTTATCTCCCTTTGTGAATCTTGGGGAAGCCCCAGACCGGTTTATGGAACAGAACGGAGAGAAAGAATAGGAAGGGAGGGAGGGAGGGAGGGAGGGAGGGAAGCAGAAACGTGGCCTTGGCAGGCACGCACAACTTGTCTTCTGCATGAGGCAAAATAACACTGACCCTCAAGTGTGGGAGGTAGAAACGGCAAACATGATGACACTGTTGTTTTTTCCATCAGCGTTAGTTGCTGCCCCTGTTTCTTCTCTCCTCAGCCATCTGCCATACAATGTCACCCCGCAACAAGCCCTCGGTCACCCAGAGGTCCAGAGGCGGCTGGACATCTCCCTCGGCCATCTCCTCGTGCTGGCAGACAAGTTTCTCTCGGCCATCCTTTCGTCGGTGGAGAAGATCCCGTACGGATTTAGTACCACGGGTCTCTTTCGTTCTGCTGCCCCCCTCTGGAGTTGGCACCTGGTTTCCAACCTGCCCCCCCCAACAAGGAATAAAATTGCTGACATTAGGAAATGGCATGAGAGGCCTTAACAATGGTTGGAGTTGGCCACAGGGCCTGAGCTCTTGTGAAGTTTCAGGCAGGGGTATCCTCAGGGCCGGCAGACGGAAAGACGGGTTGAGATTTTAGAATTTAGACAATACGGCAAATGCCCCCGTTGGGTTTAAGCAACAATAGAAATTCTTATTACTCTGCAGGGCATTGCGCTAAAATATAAAATCAATATCCAGGATAGTCCCCTCCCCACATAGTGATAACAGGTCCTGCGGTGTGTTTGTGTACGTTTCCTCCAAAGAGGGTACAGACGACTTCTGTAGATGCCGTGTGCCAAATAAATAAGAGCAACTTCTAGAGAGGGGGGGGGAGTTTTCAGCACATCAAATTAATGTGTGCCAAAGCCACCGTCCCACCGAATTGCTCCAGACTGGAGAGGGGTCACAGATGGACCCCGTTTTGCAGGGTGCCCATTTTCTCCAGCATTTTCTCTTGGCGTACATGGGAGCTGTGTCTTGGGGAGGGGGGAAATTCCTGCCCACCCAGAAATGAAATCTGGCTTTCCTTTCAGGTACGGAATGCGCTACATGGCCAAAGTCTTGAAGGCAACCTTGACTGAGAAGTTTCCAGATGCCTCCAAGGAAGAGATCTACAAGGTGGGGTGGGCCAGGGCGCAGAAGCAGGACTGGCTCCTGGCCCTCACTCTTGGGGTCTGCTCTTTTCCCTCCATTTAAGGTTATTTTGGCTGCTGAGTTTCTCAGTCAGCATGGGATGGGCTACAGGGCAGGGATTCGTAGCTGTTCCTATCTGTCCCTGGTCTCTGAAAAGATTACTTCTGATGAAATGAAGGCTCCGTGTGAAGGTAGCACAAGCGTCACAGCACCATCTTGATTGATTGGCCTTGAAAACTCTAGCCTTAACTGGTTGGTCCTCCAATGGGAACCACCAGGAACAATCCAGAGGATGTTAGTCCAGCTGCCATGGTTCCGACCTTCAGACACCCCAGGTGGCACTTCTCCGCTACTCCATGGCTGCCAAGAGAAGCCTCTCTGCGGAGTTCCAGGGAGTTGTTTTTAGAGGCTCACCTAAGGGAAAAAATTATGTCCCCCGGGGTGGCCCCTTTGTCACTGGCCAGCCACGTCACAGCAACTCGCAAGAGTGCCCGTATTTTGGCTCGGTGGTCCCCACGTTGCTAAGCCCTGGGCATGGGTGGGTCAGCGGGAGACTTGCCAGCGCACTCCCTCCCTCCCCCACGCCAGAAACGATGGGCTCCCCATGTGCCAGCCTTGCTCCCCTCCTGTCTTAGGTGGTGGGCAACTTGCTCTACTATCGCTTCATGAACCCAGCGGTGGTGGCACCAGATGGCTTTGATGTTGTGGACCTCTCTGCTGGAGCACCCCTGCACCCCGACCAGAGGCGCAATTTGGCCTCAGTGGCCAAGATCCTGCAGCACGCGGCTGCCAACCAGCTTTTCGAGGGAGAAAACAGCCACTTGAACGTGGTAAATCAGTACCTGGAGGAAGCACACCAGAAATTCAGGTTGGTCAGGAGATGAAAGGCCGGTCAGGAGATGAAAGGCTGTTATCTTCAGGTCTTTCCCTCCCTAACCCTGAAGGAGGAGCACGGTGGTCTTCCTTCCCCCCTCTGAGAGCGATGGGACCGCTGCCCCATTCGCAGCTCTTGGCAACTTTGATGTCTGTGTTGGCATCCCTGACCCGTTAACTGGGAGTCACCTAGTACCCACCTTATGCGGGAAGCATACCACCTACTCCCCCTGCTTAGCCTGTGGCTTGCTTGGGCTCTTTTGGACAAAGGAGAAGGTATGGCTGGAAGGGTGAAGGGTCTGCTCAAAATGGCAGCTCATCCTGAAGAGTCCCCTGGAGCTGGGCAGTTAACAAATTCAAATAAATAAATGAAATATTTGAAAGTATGATAGAGAGCATTGCGCTCCGTCAAAGATCTTGGTCTTGGCTGTTTGCGAGGGAGGGAGGGAGGGAGGGAGGGAAGGAAGGGGCCCACCATGTCTAGTCTAGTGAAAAGAAGGACCAGGGGGGGGGTACATGGTAGCAGCCTTCCAATATTTGAGGGGCTGCCCCAAAGAGGGAGTCAAGCTATTCTCCAAAGCGCCTGAAGGCAGGACAAGAAGCAAAGGATGGAAACTAATCAAGGAGAGAAGCAACCTGGAACTATGGAGAAACTTCCTGACAGTGAGGATGATTAATCAGTGGAACAGAAGTTGCCTTCAGGCGTTGTGGGTGCTTTGTCATTGGAGGCTTTTAGGAAGAGACTGGACAGCCATCCGAAAGGGTACAAGGTCTCCTGCTTGAGCAGGGGGTTGGACTAGAAGACCTCCAAGGTCCCTTCCGCTCCCATGATTCCATGTTCTTTTGTTTTTTCCTTCTGTCTCTTCCAGAGCATTCATCAACACAGCCTGTTCGGTCTCTGAACCCGAAGAGAGATTTAATGTGGACAAATATTCTGAGCTGGTGGCTATCACCAAACCAGTGGTCTACATAACAGTTGGAGAGCTGGTCAACACCCACAAGGTGCAAACCTCAAATGTCAGGAAAAAAAATCTGCTTTAAGGGGAGAGAAATAATTGCTTTTGTGCATAGGCCAACCCAATCTCTGGCTTGCTTATTTGTGATTTTGTGTGTTTGCAAGCCATGCTTTACGGCTTGACGTGTGAAAATCCAACAATCTACTGTGTGGTTTTTTTTTTAATAAGCTCATAGTTTTTAATGGACCTGAACCATGAAGCCCAGTTTCCCCTTGGCCGTATCTCTTTTTCACAGAGCCGTTTGGTTTACAGCAAGGATGTCCAGCCTTGGACGCGTTAAGACTTACGGCCCGGTGGGAGTCCGCAGGTCTTAAAGTGGCCACGGTTGGACACCCCTGGTGTAGAGTAACGGTCTATATGGCTTTCTTGCTGCTCGGATTCTTCGTTTTTGTTGTCTTATTTCTGTTTATCCCTTCATTGAATCATAATCTTAAGACTGTATTTTGATTACTCAAATGATTTTTGTTTTACGCAATTTGAAAAGACCATTTTGAGAGGCACGTAGGGTAAATAATGCATCCCAAATGTCCTTATTCTCTGCTTGTTCCTCTTTGCCACAGTTGCTGCTGGAGCACCGGCACTTCCTGGCTCCCGGTCCCCAGGATGTTCTGCACAAACTTTTGCAAGACCTTGCAGAGGTGCCAACTGTTGCCTCGTTGATAGGTAAACTGAGGACAGCGTCCTCCCTATACTCTATGGCATGGGATTGGGCACTGTCCCTGCCCAAAAGAGGGGGGCTCTGCTACCACCTTTTCCAATATGCCTATTTTATAAAAGGCTGCAACTCACCAGAACGTCTAATAATAAGAAAAGGTGCTAGCAGACTCTTCCTAACTTTGGCTTGCTGGAGACTAGTATGTCTGTCCTTCTACAATGTCTCAGTTTTTGCATTTCATTCTGTCAATTTCTATAGCCACCCAGCTCAACCAAGTGACTCTGGGTGGCTTACAATTCTAAAATGGTAAAACAATTAAAAAACATTAAAGCGGTAAATACATCCACAAAAATAAATAAATACGAACAGCAGCCGTGATGATTAATCAATAGCAAAGCCAAGAAACAGGGCCCTTAACATTTATAATACTAAACCAGGTTTTTCAAGAGAGTGGTGGGACCACCGTACTCAGCCCAACTCCCGGTTTGGGGGACCTGCTTCTGAGAGGCGTGGGCCATGAGACCGCCATAACCAGCTGGTGCAAAAATGGGGCTGAGACACCTTCAGGCACCCGCAATTACCCTGAGGTTGAGTCCTCTCAGGACACCTTCAGCCTGGCAAATGTCCTTGAGGAGACCCAGGCCAGTGTGACCTCTGGCTGGCCCCCACTTGAGGCCACATTGCTTCACACCAGTGGTTCTCAACCTGTGGGTCGGGACCCCATTTGGGGTCGATCGACCATTTCACGGGGGTCGCCAAGCAAGCCTGTCCACCATTTTTTTTGTGCGCCATTTTTTCCCCTTTTCCGGCGGGTGCCTTACCTCCCTTGGGCTGGGCCAGCTGGTGGTCGGCCTGCTCCGTCTCTGCCACTTGCCAGCTACGCCTCGGCCGGCGCAGGGGGCGGAACCACGCATGTGCGGCGCTCCCGGGCAGGGAAAGTCTTTGACTTACGACCAGTTTAGTCCTCGACTTACAACCGGTTGGGGTGGCGACATTAAAAAGGTTGAGAACCACTGCTTCACACCATAGGTTGCCCCACTCGCCAGGCTTCCTCACCTGATGCCCAAGAAAACTGCTTGAAACTGGCGGCTTGGCCAGCCCTGTGCTGATGCCAGGACCAGATTTCTGTTGGCCCCAGTGTTTTTTTTATTATTGGATTGTTTCTCTAACTTGATAGTTCTCGAGTACTTCAACAGCCTAATCAAAGAACTACCAAGAAGAAGAAAACCATATTCCCACCAACACTGATAGGGCAAACCACAGTATATAAAAAGAGAGCAAACCCTATTTCCGTCTAGCACTGATGATGTTACCTAGTTGGGTCATGAAACATCTGCAAGAAAATCAATCTCGGAGAGCACCAAGGACTCCACGGCTATTTTCCTCCTCCTCCTCCTCTCCACAAACCCTACCCCCTTCTGATGATGTTATCTAGTTAGGTACTGAAACGTCTTCACGAAAACAACCAAGCTCAGAGAGTACCAAGGACTTCACGATTCAGTCCTGAGCTACAGAGATTCTCTCCTATCGGCATCTCCTCACTCCCTGTCCTTCAGCGGGCAGGGCTGGCATCCCATACTTTAGGCTCTTCCAATCCATGCAGGCATCTTCCTCAAAAGACTGTTAGGCTTCTGGCTTGGTTTCTTCCTTCACTCCTCCGAACCTGTTGGATTGCTGTCTTTTTGCAGGCCACAGCCTGGGACAAGGGGCGAACGGGACCTGGGAGGATGCTATGTCCCAGCTCTCCAGAACGGAGCTCTCGCTCGTCCTCAGCAGCAAATACGGCGGGGTGGAAGCCGAAGCCAAGGGGGAAACAGATGCCAAAGGCCTGTGGCTGAGGTGGGTGGCTGCATCCCCTTGCGAGGGGAGGTGGTGGGGCCTGGCTCTCCCCCCCCCCAAGATCTCGTGAATAGCAAGTGGGTGATGATCAGGAGCACAAAGGGAATCTCAGATCAGCGATACAGGAAGCCAGTGGGAAGGGGAAGGTACAGAATTACAGGTAACCCTTGGTTAATGATGGTAATTGGGACTGGAATTACCATCCCCAAGTGTTGTGACCATAAAGCATGATGTCACTTGACTGCATTGCTTAGCAACGGCAGTCCCATGGCCACGATTAAGCGATGATCATGGTTGTTAAGCAAGGACTTACTTTGCAACTTCTCGCCAGCTTCCCAAAAGTAAAGTCCAGGGCTTTTTTTGTCATAGAACACCCAGAACGGAGTTCCGGCACCTTTTTTGGATGGAACCTTGTAGGGTAGGCAAGGCGGGTTGTATGACGTGTGTGAGTTCCGGCACCCTTTTTTTTTCCTCCCCCCAAAAAAGCACTGGTAAAGTCATTGGGGAAGCCAGAGGGAAGTGGCGAGTCCGAGGTAGCGTGCAAGCGGGTTGAAGGGCAGGAAGCAGCTGCTGCTGATCAGGTTGCAGGGATGGCTGGCTGGGGCATGTCGGGCCTGGAGGTGGAGTCATGACAGAGCAACATGCAACTTTCTCTGCTGGTTTTCTCCTTGACTTTGGTGTGGGAAGATGGCGGGGAAGGTCGAAGGTGGCGATCATGTGACTGGGGTGCCACAGCTGTTCTACTGCAGTTGCCAAATGGTTGTGCTTTGCATGAGCATTGTGATGGAGATTCCCTAGGAGAATTACAATTATGGTAGCTCAGAGCGGAATTTGGACCCGCCCCTTTTTGTTCCCTTAGGGTCACAGTTTTGGTTAATAAGGGCCACTGGCACAAAACTCACTCCTCTCCCCATTTCCTTGGTAGTAAAAGGACTAAGTAAATGTCCTAGAATCGCAGCAGGCTGTGTGACCTCCTGCTGGGCAGCTTCTCAGTGACCCTTTGAGCGCTGCTGAGCGGGCCTGGGAGGAGGGGACAGGACCTCCTGCGCTCTGCCCAGAGTGACCGGCTGCCCTCTTCTCCTTCTCCTTGGGTGATGAAGCACCAAACAGATGCTGGTGGATGTGATCCAGTCCCAGCCTGGAGACTCCCTGGCTGAGATCCTGCACTCAGAGGCATCGGAAGAGGAGGTGGGTGAAGCAAGAGGGGGCGAGTCTGGATGGGCCTCCTCCAGGCGAAGCGGGTGGCTTTGAGGGCTCCTTCCCCTCCTGCGGGAGGAAGCTGTGGGAGAAGGGGGGCCCAGGCCAGAGGCTCTGAGCCGTTGGCAGGAGTCACCCTGGTTAGGGGATTATGGGAAGGTCGATGGGAGAAACGCAGGGCCATCTGGAGAGTTTCTGGAACCGGAAGAGAATAAGAAGAGAATAAAAATCCTTCACGTTTTCTGCTGTGGGGATGGTCTTTTCCCTCTCCCCAACCACACTTGGCCTTCAGAAGGCCAGTAAAAATGGGGCTCTGGGGCTGGGATGACTGGGGCGGCCTGTCTGCAGAGGGACACAGACGTGCCCGCCTGGCTGGGCGTGAATGTTTGGACTGGGGCCGAGTCGCTTTCCAGGCTCCACTTGCAACTTGGTCCCTGAGCGGCCAGACACAGTGGCGGCTCCCTCTTTTGCAGGAGCAGCTCCACCGACGGCTACTGCAGAGAAGGGCCACCGGCCACCCCCAGGGCCAGAAGCGGGCACTGCACGGTCACTCCCAGGCTGGCAGCGGCCATCTTTCCCTGGAGGAGAAGAAGAAGAAAGTCCTGGAGCGCCTGGCTTTGGTGGGCTCGGCCAACCCGTCCCGGGCCCTGCTCGGCGAGATTGCCCAGGTGACCCAGGCAGCGGAGGAGGTGCCCTTGGGGGGAGGGAGGGTTGGCAGGACCCGGCCTCTGTCATTCTCTGGCCTACCTGGCGGGGCTGGTGTGCATCCTGGCTGACAGTCACTGTAAAATTGCAGGGAAGCCATTTTTAGGCTGGCTGTAAGGAAGAGTCGGAGGGAGGCGCCTTTAGCTCAGGGGTCTCCACCCTCCAGACCCGTGGACTTCAGCTCCCAGGACTCCTCAGCCAGCACAGCTGGGAGTTGAGGTTCAGAGGCCTTAAAGTTCCCCAGGGGGAGAGCCTTGCTTTTGCTCCCGCCCTGCCTCCTCCTCCTCCTCCTCCTCCTTCTGAATTCCGGCTGGGTGAGGTCCAGTCGCTTTGAAGTTGCCGAGGGTGAGAAAGGTGGTCCAGAGGAGGGGCAGGGGCCCACGCAGAGCGCCTGGGGCATTGGGCCGGTCTCGGCTTCCCGCAGGACATCCGCTCTCAGAGGCATCACCGGCAGCGCCGCAGGGGGCAGCTGGCCAAGCTGCAGCAGACCCTGCGAGGCCTGGCCGCCAAGCGTCGCTTCTACCAGGAGCAGGTGGACTACTACCAGAAGTACCTCCGCACCTGCCTGGACAACCTGGCCGCCGCAGACAAGTATGGGGCCCGGCCGGCTCGGGTATCGAGGGGACCCGGGTCCAGACGAGGGGCAGGAGGGAGCACAGCTCTGGGCCCTCTGCCTCGGGGGGGGGGCGCCCTGGAGACGCCACACCTTGCCTGAAAAGAATCTGCTCCAGTTATGGGGCAGCTTCTCTGTTGGCCAAGCAAGGGAGGTTCTGGCTGCGTCTTCCATCTCGAAACACCCCATGGCCTTGAGCCCTCCTTGGTGGGTGGGGAGGCTGCGGCCCCCACCTCACCTTCCTTGGTGGCTTTTCGGGGGGGGCACTAAAACAACATGGCAGATGCTCCCCCCCCCACTGGAAAGGGCTTGCAACGCTGGCGCTTCCCCCATTTCCCTTCCCCAAGCAGGTCCCCCTCCCCTGGCATTCCTTGGCTGGTAGCTGTGCCCGGGTCCACCCTGGGAAGGCTGGCGGAGTCCACCGGAGCGCAGTGGGGCTTGGGAGCCTGGTCTGCTCCTCCCAAGCTGACCACACTGGGGCCCGAGTGGAGGAAAGCCAATGTGGGGGCAGGCAATGGTTGGCGTCCCCCACCACACCCTCCCCTATCCTGGCTGCCCCCTTTTTTCTTCCCTTCAGGCCCAGCAAGAAACAGGCTGTGCTGCATTACACAGCGGCCCGTCTGTTTGAGAAGGGGGTCCTGCTGGAGATTGAGGACCTCCCGCCAAACCAGTAAGTCTGGATCTCCCCCTTTCTTCCTCCTGGCTCCTGCTGCCCCTCATCCTTCCATGGGGATTCCCCCATCTGGGCATCCTCCGGGTCTGTCTGTGGGTGACAGTGACACTGACATCCTCAGTGAGAATAAAAACACCTGAAATCTCCGCTTGGTGTACTGAACTTTTTTTATCGTGCTGTGGGAAAAGTAAATCTTTCATCCCCAATTCCATTTTCTCAGTTTCATGGCTTTAATTCCTCCCCCTCTCCCTATTTTTCTTTTTTTCTTTTCAGACTTAGAAATGTCATTTTTGACATTATCCCTTCCCGGGAAGCTGGCAAGTTTCAGGTCAAGGCGAAGTTTATGGGGATCGATATGGAAAACTTTCAGCTTACTTACCAGGTAAGGGGGCAGCTGACGAGGGCTCCCTCCATACAGTTGGATTGTTGAATTATTTACCAGCTTTCCGATGGAAGTAGACTGAGCGAGGCACAAACACATTACAGTTCTGTACACCCATCGCTCGTATAAATCACATCTAAAATATCTTAAGCACTGTTAGCGATAGTTCACATGGGGACATTCTGCTGCAGCTTTGGGGGGAGGGGGGGTTAAGGGCAGCCTCCCCTAAGCCGCACTGACGAGAGAGCCCAGAGGCCAGGCGGAGGATGGAGGATGGAGCAGAGGCGCTTCTGGCCACAGAACGGAGAATGGGATTTCCTTGGAATCAGAAGGCTGAGCCCACAGCCTCTCCCCACCAGATCCTAAGAGCCTTTGGGGAACGGGAGAGGGATCTGTCCGAGAAGAAGGCCTGAGTAACAGCGGCCTCCTCATAAGGGCTCACTCCCGATTGCGTCCCCTGGCAGGGTCTCCTAGGGGTTAAATGGGAGAAAAAGAAGAGAGGAGGAAGCCGAATGGAGCTCACGGCTTTCCTCTCCCTGCCCTTGGAGGTGGTCCTGGAAGGGATCCCGGGGCATCAGAGGGGCCACCGGGAGATCGGGAAGTTGCCCTTCCCCAGAGGTTGTCCCTGTGAGTGATCGGCTTGGACCGAGTCCCACACCCGGGCCTGATCCCAGCCTGGAAAGGGCTCAGTTCATCTGCAGGTGCAGAACTGGTGCCTGACGGCCTAAAATTAGTTACCAGGCAGAGAAAGTTGAGATAGAGGAAAAAGACACAGAGCAGGAAAAGTTCTCAGGTTGCTCATTTGCACCCTACGAGGGCCTCCGTCTTTCTGAAAGACTCGCACGCGGGCTTAACTGGGTCGCCGAACTGGCATGGTCAATTCTGGGTTTGCACTGAACGGGTCACACAATCCAAACAGGTCACACCACATGCAAAGCTGCAAACAACGCAGAGTTATAACATGCTAAGTTACAAAGGAACTAACCAAGGTTAAAGCCAACCAGGCTCAGCGTTGTTCAGTCTTTCCCTGATCTGGTCAGCCCAAGTTTAGATGACCCCATTTTCTATTTGGAAATATCCTTTGAAAGCTCAGAATCCCAGAAGGGATGGAAGGGGCCTTGGGGTTCTTGCAGCTCAAGCGGGAGACCCCCGCATCATTCTGGGACCCCTTTCTCTTCTTTCAGGACCTCCTCCAGCTCCAGTACGAAGGTGTGGCTGTCATGAAAATGTTTGACAAAGCCAAAATCAACGTCAACCTTCTAATCTTCCTTCTGAACAAGAAGTTTTTCAAGAAATAATGTGCTTCGGGCAACAGCTGTGGATCACTGGGGTCCTTGTTGGAAAGAGGCCAAAGAGACGTCGTGCTGCTTGCTTTGCCCCAGTCCTGCTTCCAAGAAACCCAGAAGACCCTCCTCAGAGGGGCCCTCAGGGCAGATTCCTGCATGGCAGAAGGCTTCCTTGGCATATAAACCTCGTGCCTGTAGAACACTAGATCCGTCTGTCAAGGATAGGCTGCTTTTCTAAGTGCAAAGCATTTCACCCACAGTCCAGCCCTCTTCAGACACAAACACTCTCACACACCCCGGGTCATTCAGCCCAGGTAGCCTAAAGCTTCAGGGTTCAGGAAGAACTGAACGTTGCAAGTCTGGAGACCCTGTCCCTAGAGCCAAACATCTTCCTCTCTCAGTTGCTAGGCTCTAAAGAAGCCAAGGACTTCCCCGTTTCCCTCCGCCTTTTGGCGCCCACAGCCCCCCACAGGTTCTTGGCGCTGATCTCCTGGAGGGGGACTTTGTTCTCCCACCAGCAGGGCAGCTGGCAAGAATCAGGCTGGGAGAGGCGGTGGTGTGCAGGCCTGAGAGAGGGGTGTGTGTGCTTTTTAATACTTGTCACTCCCAGCCCTGAGAGTTGACATAAAATCAAGTTTCCTCAAATGGAGAGCTTTAGAAATTCAGATTTGTGGGTTACACTTCCGCTCAGTGCTAGTTTGAAACTGCCAAGTTATCAAAAGAGCTCAACTGTTTCTATACCAGCGTTTGGAAGGCTACTGAAAACTGAATTCTTTGGATCTTCCCTGGTAATTTAAAAGAATAAGATAAAAAGTTTGCACAGATTATTAATATAATCAGACATTTTATTAAGATCTATAATAAACTATTATTCAATTTTTTTAATATGGTTACTGAATGTTATTTGCTAGAAATTGCTATGGGTGTATTAAATGTAGAACTTAATCATTGAAAACTGAGAAAAATCTAACCAAAGTAACCAAATCTAGTGGATAAGGAAAACATGGGGGGCGGGGGGGAGAGTTAATTAAAGAATGATAGAGAAATGAATTTCATCTGACTAAAAATATGAAAAGATTCTCTGAATAATATTCCTGTTATTGAGAGATACTGGTAATTTCACTGGGACCCAACAGATTACATCCCAGAGTTCTGAAGGGGCCGGCAGAGGTTATCTCAGAACCATTGCACCATATCTTTAACAAATCTTGGAGCACCAGGGAAGTGCCAGAGGATTGGAAAAGGGCTGATGTGGTTCCCATCTTCAAAAATGGGGAAAAAACAGAGCCAGGAAACTACAGACCAATCAGCCTGACATTAATACCTGGGAAGATACTGGAAAATATAATCAAAAAATAGATCTGCAAACATCTAGAAACAAATAGTTATTACTAGAAGGCAGCACGGGTTTGTTAAAAACAGATCATGGCAAACCAATCTCATTTCATTCTTTGACAAAGTGACTAAATTAGTAGACCAGCAAAATGCTATGGACACAACATACCTAGACTTCAGCAAGGCATTCAATGAAGTAGACCCCAACCGATTTCTTGGTAAGCTAGAAAAATGGGATAGACAACATCACCACAAGATGGATTTGTAACTGGCTGACAAACTGTACTCAACGAGTCATCCTTAATGGTGCTACATCTACATGGAGGGAAGTAAGCAGTGGGATACCACAAGGCTCCATCTGAGGCCCAGGACTCTTCAATATCTTCATTAATGACTTAGACGAGGGAATTGAAGAAGAACTCATCAAATTTGCAGATGACACCAAGCTGGAAGGCATAGCCAACACCCCAAAAGACAAGCTCAGAATCCAAAAAAATCTTGACAGACTTGAACAATGGGCCCTATCCAACATCATGTTTAATGTGGAGAAAAGCAAGGTTTTACAGCTGGGCAGGAAAAGCCAAAGGTACAAGTACAGATTAGGCAAAACCTGGCTCAAAAACAGTAAGTGTGAGAGGGACCTTGGAGTCCTAGTGAACAATCACTTAAATCTGAGCAAGCCGTGTACGGCGGCAGCCAGAAAAGCTATTACAATCCTTCGTTGTATAAACAGGCATAGAATCAAAATCACGTGATGTATTAGTACCACTTTATAAAGCCTTAGGCCACATTTGGAATACTGCATCCAGTTTTGGTCACCACATTACAAAAAAGATATTGAGACTTTGGGAAAAAGTGCAAAGAAGAGCAACTAAGACGATTAAAGGCCTGAAGAACAGTTGCAGGATTTGGGAATGGCCAGTCTAGAGAAAAGAAGGACTAGGGGGGACATGATAACAGTCTTCCAGTATTTGAGAGTCTGCCACAAGGAGGAGAGGGTCAACGTATTTTCCAAAGCACCAGAAGGCAAGACAAGAAACAATGGATGGAAACTAATCAAGGAGAGAAGCAACCTAGAACTAAGAAATTTCCTGACAGTAAGGACAATTAACCAGTGGAACAGCTGGCCTTGCTTCATCACTAGAGTTTTTTAAGAAGAGACTGGACAGCCACTTGTCTGAAATGATATAGGTTCTCCTGCTTGAGCAGGGGGCTGGACTAGACCAGAGCTTTTCAACCTTTTCACCCATTGTACCACTTTTAGGATATGGCAATATCCGAGCACCACCAGTCGCTTAGCAAGGTGTCAAAAACTTGATGACCAAAAAAAGAAAAAAAGTGATGAAGTACAGGTAGTCCTCGACTTACAACAGTTCATTTAGTGACTGTTCAAAGTTACAATGGCACTGAAAAAGTGCCCCCCAAGGCACAGCCGAGCAAGACACCTGCCTGCCCATCCAGCCGCGCTCTTCCTCCTGTCTGAGGTTTCCATTGTTGTGAGCATTTCTGTTGAGGATTGGCAGCGGGGGTGGGGGTGGGGGTGGTATTTGGTTTTTATTCCCCCCCCCGTCTGCTGGGTGGTTGCAGTAGGTTTTGGTCACTTCACAGGACCCTGGGACACTGTGACCGTCATAAATATGAATCAGTTGCCAAGCATCTGAATGTAAATCACAAGACCCTGGAGATGCTGCAACATTCCAGCTGATCGGCGCTTCTTCTGGGCTCAGCAGAAACACCAGGATCAGTGCAGAGCTCCAGCTGGACCCTGGCACTGATCCTGGTGCTTCCGCTGAGCCCTGACAGCCCTGAAGAAGCGCCAATCAGCTGGAAAGCGGCACTGATCCTGGCGCTTCCGCTGAGCCCTGACAGCCCTGCAGCTCCAGCCGTTTCTCGCTCAGGCTTGTGCGGTGCTGCCACCGGTTCAGCTCATTCCCCTCCCCCGCTACCACTTTTCTAGGATGGCCGCGTACCCCCTGCCAGGTGCCAGTGTACCACAGGTGGTACCCGTACCACTGGTTGAAAAGCCCTGGGCTAGAAAACCTCCAAGGTGCCTTCCAGCTCTATTCTGATTCTGATTTTTAAAAAAGGCTTGGTAAAAATTACCCAATAGATTCAGGAAACAGAGGAGACCGGTAGGGAGGGCAAATTATGCCTGTTCCCTTCCCCTGTTTCTCTCTTAATTTCCTAGCAATATCAAAAGGCCATAGCATTAAAGAAACCAAGTTGCATCATCGAAGTTTTTTTTTTTTTTTTAAATATTTTTTATTATTTAAACCGACAAACAAAACAAAACAAAACAAAACACAATACACATATATACACAATATATATTTTAACATCAACTTCGTGCTAGTATTCTTCTATTTTTTACATTTTCCCCCTTATTCTTTTTTAAAGTATTTATCCTTATTGCCCCATTATTTCTTGTTTGCATTTTTCTTCCTTCATACATTATTATATACACATTTTCCACGTTTAACTTT